TACTTGAACGGAAAAGTATTTTTATTTACAATAAATATGCCAAACACCACAAGTACAAAAATTTGAAAAGAAAAGCAAAAATTAAGCTGTTGCATCTCCAGAACTCGGAGGAAGAGAAACATCTACGCCCCCAGGAGAAGTGGGTGGATCCGCCGCCAGTTTGATATTTTGGCCTTCAGCATCATCACCTTCCGTTTCCTCTTCAGTTCCCAAGAACTCAGAACCGGAACGAGAAGAATCAGTAGCATCAAGCCACACAAGAAGACCCATTTTTGCAGCTAACTCCAGTTCACGGGCCTTGGCGATTTCGGCATCAAAGTCAATGACACCTGTTTTGGCCTCTTCCAAGGTTTTTCTCCTCATGCTATATATAACATATGTTTTTTTAACATTGAAGGAAGCCGCTCGGCACTGAAGTTCTTCTTTAAGTTGGCCGACCTCAACAGAAAGGTTTTCTCGCACAGATCTAACGGACCGGAGGCTGACATCGAGGTCAAGGACAGTAGAGCTAAAAATTCTATTATGCTCAATGGTCTTCTTATGCTTCTCTTCCAATTAGGCATACTTCGTCCCAGCAGCAGCAAGCTCTTCAACTTTGGATTTTAATACCGCCTCCAAATTATTCAATCTTTCAGCGGAGGCAGCCTCACGATCGGATGCAGCAAGAACGTCATTCCCATCCTCTTCAAATTGAGCCCTCAACGGGGCAACCTATTGGCTAAGGGTTACTACGTCTTGCTCACTTTGCTGCAACTGAGCCTATAACTCAACGGCCTTAGAAGCTCGAGCTTTCAGTTCTAAGAGGCGACCAGTAGTTTGGTCCCTCTCGGCCAAAAGTTGATCCCGTTCGGAGGTAAGTCCCTCCTTATCACGAATCAGCCTTTGGAGGTCCTCAGAAGCAAGAAAGTTGGCCTACAAAACAAGAATGCAAATTGAAAACCTTGCCATAACACAAGTAGAAGAAACAACAGACAAAAATAAGACTATACCGCTGATGCGTTATGCATGGCATTATTCAACAAACACTCTCCCGAGAGAGTTTGAATATTTTCCCAATCTTTCTCTGCAGCTAGGAGCTTTAGATAATTAGCAAGTTCCACCAGCCGGGATAACAGATTGAATCCGGTAGAGACTGAGATGGTGGCACTCCTCCTCCTTTGGGGATCTTCTGAGGAGGCATCATAATTTTGCCCTAGGTTCCCATGAACTGGGGACTGGGGAAGAGAGACATCCTCCTTTTGGGCAGCTGCGACCGGCAGAAATTATGTAGCAGTTGCTGGTGGCGAAGGCAGAGTTGGAGTAGAGGGGGATAAAGCTGATGGCATTGAAGGATGAGAAGTGGTTGCGGCAAGCATAATGCTGGTCGTTGGTTGCTCATCAACCGAAGATGACAGGGACCCAGTACTCAACCTATCGATACCGGGCACGACGACTGGATTCGAAAGCGAGAGTTAGCATTTTCCACCATCTCATACTCCCCCCAAAGTGCCGAGGCATCATCCTCGGTTGGTGTATCTAACTCAACAGATTGAGCAGTCTATTGAGCTGAGGATGGTCGTTTCCTTCTATGTAGAGAAGCCCCCTCCTCACTGGTTTCTCCACCGTCGTCAATCATCATGGTGTCTATGGCCAGCTCGAGCGGGGAGCTCATCACCACAACTTCCGGAGACGACTCGGGAGCAGCACTTTTTGCCTTTTTATTTTTTCCTCCGGCCGCGGAGGAACGTCTTCTTTTTGGTTGCTTGTTCTCTTGTCGGGGGCTCCGAGAAGTAGCACTTGCACCAGAAGCAGTCTCGGAGACACCTGTTCGTGTAAAAGCCTCCTGCAGCAACCTTGCTACATCAGTAGGATTAGCCAAAACATTCTCCTCGGGGACGACAACTAAGCCCTAGGGCAGACCTGAATTCAACAAGAAAAAAGGTTAATCAACTTCCTTATACGAAAAATAAAGACAAGGTGAGTTTAATTTACCATGATTTTGGGCCTTACACCCGTATTTGAGGGACAATTCTTTCCACGTGCGGGTCTCGGGCGTAGTAATATCCATTATTTTCTGGACCCACTGGTCAAAGCCTTCAACCCTAGGTGGTACCTACCAAGTCGCTGAAGCGAACGAAAGAAGAGGAGTCAATAATGATATGGGACACTCTCTAACAGAAGGAAAGACAAATGGAGAACTTACGAGTGCGGTTCCATAATTCCGGAAAGGATGAAGTCATGGCCGGAATGATGCCACTGGTGGCGACTGCAACAAATCATTCCATCCACCCACGGTCGTTGTCATCATCCATGCTGGATAGCAGAGCATGATGTCCACGATTGCTAAAATTTATCATTCCCCCGAAGAAGATCTTGGGGGAATAAAGGTTTATCAAACGAGCTAGGGTTAGCTCCTTTCCCGTCTCCTGGCACAGGCGCTGAAGACAAGCGACTGTCCTCTATACAGAAGGACTTAGGTGCCAGGCATACCTGGTAGCGGATGCAGAACTCCATGATGACGGAGTCAAGCTCTCCACTTAGAGAGAACGGCCCTAAAGTAAAGGGGTACGCATAAAAATACGTAAAATCCTTCTTGGGTAAAGTTACCCGCTCCGCCAGATCATGAGCGATAGTGTCTAGATCCTGACAATGGCAGTCTTCCTTCTCAGCAGGAATACTGGAAGGATAGATGAAAGAAGGGTATACGCTAACAGACCATGTACGAGGGTGAACGGAGGGATACTTCTCTTCGAAGTCCTTAGTCTTGACAAGACTCTTTGGAATAATGGTGCTCACCTTAAGAGGAGCAGCGTCATCAGGTTTACCTTTGTTCTTTAAGGAACTAGGAGTTTTGGGAGAAGAGGCCATTTTTTATCAGAAAAGGAGGAAAGTCTTTCTCTCAGGAAGAAGGTTAAATAAAGCTTGAAGATAAAGTACGAGTTGAGTAAAGAGAGTTGGAGAGAGTTTGAAGAATTATGAAATGTAAATGAAGAAGTTTGATGCGTATAAGTAAAAGAATATGCGGCTAAAATCGTGGCCATAATTACCTCGATAACCAGCAAAAATGATGCTGAATCGTGGGATGACGCGTATTCGGGACATTAAATGCGGAGAGACGTGCGTCTAATCAACCATCAGAAACTTTTCAGAGGGCGTGAGAGAGTTTTCTCCCAAGAAAGGTATCTCTACCAACTTTCCGGTGACACAAAGTTATGCCACCGGAAAGCAGGAGGACTATCTGTATGTGATAAAATATGTTCATATTTAATCATCGCATGAGAAAGCAACATGTGGAACTAAAGACATAAGATAGCCAAACCCGAAGGCAATGATCTCGCTTGTCATCAGAGAGAATGATACTCATAAAGACAAAATAAATTCTGCCATCCGGTAGAAGTTAATGAAGATTATTCTACAACATTAAGTGCATGATCCGTTACAGAGAATATGGCATTCACTGCCCACCGTTACACATTCTTCAATAGCCCTTATAATTGTCATTAAAGAGGAGCTTGATCCTAGGACCTTGTTCCCTAGGTATAACTATAAATAGTGAGCTCTATCATCATTATAATAAGGATGAATTTTCTGACAAACATATACTATACTTCATCAAAAGCTCAAATAACATTTTACTTTCTTGCTTATTTGCACTGTTCTTATTGCTCCCGATAGCTCAGCGTCTGGAACTAAGATATCCGCCGTTTATTTTAATTTTAAGGCTAAGTCTTATATTTCTATCTAATTCATATGTTATTTTTGGATCAAACTAATTCACTTGTCTATAAACCATGTATAAATTCAACTGTACCGTTTTACGGATAAACATTAATCATCCACAAAAACTTATATTTTATTTTTTCATGCATAATTACTTACTTAAAGCCTTAAGTTAATAATACTAATACTATTATTTTACAACATTGTGTACCACAAGACGACATACACGTGCAACACAGGTGTGAAAAGACTAGTTTTAATAAGAAAATGAATACCATAAACAGTTTGACTCCTCAATTTACCACTTACTTAAGTTTCCTTATAACTTTTAAAGAATCTGACTCCTCTCTTCAATTTACCACTTACTTAAATTTCCTTTTAACTTTTAAAGAATCATGACCCGTATCTTGTTGAGTTTCGTTTAACATCTTGAGTTTTGCTTGAGTGGTTACGGAAGATTAGTAATTGAAGTAATTGTCTGAAAAACACAAAAATCTGAAAAGCAAAATAGAGAAAAAAGTACACTATAAGGAAAAGATAAAGGAAATATTGGCGTTGGGGAAAAGAAATCTCAATGGAGTTAAGTCTTCAAAGGGAAGACAACGTGCTGCTCCTCCACTTTGATTAGAATAATTTTTTTTATTAGGACTTCCCCACACAATGTATGAAGTAGTCATGAACCTACTAATTTACATGTATATTTGTAAATCTATACATCATAAGATTCGTAACTACTGAAATTTTAATTTGTATTTATGTATCTGTACCTCATGTTTTATGGTTTTCTCCATCAGTTGTTCACTTACCATAAGGTTTTTATTGTACATTTTCAACTCAACCGTATTTGCTTTCTTCTTCTTCTTCTTCTTCTTTAAAAAACAGTAAATATTATATAAATGAACTTTGCACAAAGTTTTATCATAACAAAAGTTTTCGTACCTTTAGGGTGTCAATGATTCGGTTTGATAGATTATTTCGAAATTAGACCTTATTTTTTGATTATCCTATTATGCATAGCTAAAATTAAATTTTTCGAACTGTCCAAATTATTTTTGATATTTGTATGATTAGGTTAATTTTCGATACTTTATTTTTAAAACAATATGTAAGAGTAACTCTTATTATGATATGTGATTTGTCATGTAAAATAATACTCCTAATAAGTTTTAATGTAATATATAAAGTGTAAATTGTAAAATTTAAATGAGTCTAATATTTTTATTAAACAAAAAATAAAAATGAGTTCCAACTTTTATTGGTACTATTTACAAAAGTGAGTATTTTTACACTATCGTTTCTTAATTCTGAGTGCTACTACTAACATTGGTCTCCGAATTGCACCTGCTTCTTAAATTGCTGTACCTTCTTCTCCAGATCCAACAACACCAAATACGCAAACACGCCGTTAGTTCAAGAGTTCCGCTCCTTCAATGCAGTAACTTTCTGCTAATTCTGAAAGATATTTACCACATTTTGTCTCTCAGATCAAATGGCTGTTCCGATTGAAGAAGCTATAGCTGCACTATCCACATTTTCTTTAGAGGTTAGTTTTTTTAACGTAATTATTATGAAAATTAGATTCATAGTTAGGAAATGAACTTTATATATAAGTATGTTTTCTTAATTGATGATTTTCTCGTTAAAATTATAATATTAGGATGATCAAGCAGAGGTACAAGGTCCAGGGTTTTGGGTTTCAGCTGAAGGAGGTGCAACTATTAGTCCAATTGGTAACACATATTTTTCTTTTAGGTCTTCAGTCAGTAGTTTTTTTTTTTCTTATTTATTTTGTTGTTGGTAATGTTATTATTATGATTATTATCATTTACTTTTTTCCTGAATGTTTTCATTAATGATGTTTCTTTTGAGGTCTTCCTTTATGTAATTATAAATTAATTTGCCTTCAATATTTTGTTTTGTTAAATAAAATTGCCTTCAATATTGTTTAGATGTGCTGTCTTTTTTCTCATTTTTTTTGTTAATCGAGAAATCCTTGAGGACCATTGCCACGAGGTTTGAAACTCGATGGATAATGGGCCTGCACCTCTACCCTTTCTCCATTTAATTACCAGGCTTTTGTCTACAGTAATGTTCGAACTCGTGACGTGCGCCTAACCCACACATCTTGCACTATGCTTTTACCACTAGGCCAAAGCCCTGCATTCGAAACCGTGACGTGTGCTATGCTCTTTTTTCTCATTTACTATTATCTGTCATTCTACTGTTAGAATTATTATTATTTTTGGAATTTCAGGTGAGTCATTGTGAATGTTCCTTGTTGGTCTTCTTTCTGCAATTATATCCCACCCATGAAATCAAATTGCCTTGTGTATATTTGAGTAAAGGTTCTTTTTTACCTTTTTTAATGTTTCAAAATATTTTTGGCAGAGTACAGTGACGTGGCTGCATATAGGCTGTCATTATCGGAAGACACTAAAGCTATTAACCAGCTGGTATATGTTAAGAAATTGTACCAGTTTTCTGCTGCTGAAATTGCACTTCTTTTCCTTGATGTAATGCTGAAGTTGTTTGCAGAACACACTTATACAAGAGGGGAAGGAAATGGGTTCCGTGCTCTACACATATAGAAGTTGCGTTAAAGCGCTTCCTCAGGTTAATAAAGGACTTCGGCTTCTAGCAAAAAAGCTTTTGATTTCTGAATATGAGATAAGGCATTATTATTAGGATCTTCTACTTTGCTGCTAAGCTTTTTGTTTTTTGTCTGGTACGTGAAAATGATGATAATATATGGTGTTTGTTTGTAGTTTATTTCAGAATATTGTTGTATATCTACATATCTGTAGCAGTTATTAGTTAAAAAATCTATACATCTGTGGCAGTTTTGTGAGAGCACAAACAATGAGCAATTTCAATTCATGCTTAACTTTTAGCAGGAAGAAGAGCAAAACCTTTTTAAGCAACTGACTTGTAAATTTCCTGATAACTTCGCCCAAGGTCACTAAACTAAATCAAATGTGGAAGGAGTGCAAAATTTGTTACTAACCAGCACATGTAGCATTAAAGCTCATAAAGGTAGCTTCGTTTTAAACCAAAGTCTACCCGTCATGCCACCTTGGGTCCAGGTCTAAGGAGATCTAGGTAGGTATGCCTTGGTAGTAGAAATGCTAGCCATTTAATAGACTCCAGTTGTAGCTGTTTTCATCTTTGATGACTTCAGACTTTAACCAAAAAGGGAGAAAGGTGGAAGTACTTGAGCAAAGTTCCTTATAAATTATACAATTCCTTTCAAATTCATTAAAGTTTCATATAACTATTCTCGAATGCATCAGGGTTTGTTAAATTGATTCAAGTCTACATTGATATGTAACTACCTCTTCAATGTCATAACTAGCTATATCAATGTTATTATTTTGTCGCTTAAAGCGATGAAGTGAAGGGAGGGAGTATCGCTTCATGGGTGAAGCCATGCGCTTTAGAGAGGTGTACGCTTCAAACAGGATCCACAAAAAGATCCTAATGAGAATCAACCAGTTCTTTGAATCTCAACTTTAAAGAGTTAGATTAAAATCAACATTATTGTATTTTGGATGCTGAAATTAGTCATCTTAATTGCAATTTAATAGTAATTGTACTAAATTCATAAATGTTGGTATAATTTAATTTTCTCTAAATAGTGCACTTCACTTCACAGTGTGCGTTTCACTTCATGCCCTTTGCTTTTAGCCTCATGAACCTTGTCATTTTTTACGCTTTTCGTTTTAAAAATACTGCGCTATATTGCTGTCGGGATATTAAGTATGTTATCTAGTTTTGCATTTCCTTTGTTTGGATGTTTGTTGTGTAGTTTAATGTGTTTACGAAGCCCTAGCAAGAAAACAAGTGAAAGCTGATTTTTCTGAGAGATAAAGTTCCTCTCAATAATTGAGGCAAATTTATGGCAGATTGAAGTTGTTAATCTTTCTTTCTTGTACATATTTTTTTCGATGTTTGCACCTTCTTTTTTCCACCTTCCGACTTTTTCTTTTTCCTTTAATAAACTTGTAATAGTTGTAGACATAGTATTGCAGCTTCCAGATTCTATGAAGCAAAGCCAGGCTGACCTGTATCTCGAAACTTATCAAGTTTTGGATTTGGAAATGAGCCGTCTGCGTGAAATCCAGAGATGGCAAGCATCAGCTGCATCTAAGGTTTGAACCCATGATTCTATTTATCTAAAATCTTTACTAAAGATATAAATTTCTTCTCACACAAGCTTTTCTGCTCGATCCATTTAAACACAGCTGGCAGCTGACATGCAACGTTTTTCCAGACCGGAGCGTCGCATTAATGGTCCCACAGTAACTCATCTATGGTCTGTACATGTGTCTTATCTTTTCATTAGTCTATTCTCTTTATATTTATAAAAAAAGTTAGTCTATTACCTTTTCTATGAATTGTAATTATTTACATTAATTGGTTAAATTACTTGCCACTATTTCATATTCACATCCTAGGTGGTAATTGCTTCTTTTAGGGTGTGTATAATCTTTGGAAATGTTACGAGGGAAGAGAAAGCCTAGCATAAAGGGCGCTCCGCCTCCAATCTTGAGGTTGAGGGTTTGAGTCGCCAAGGTACCAAAGTGGAAAAAACCACTCTTTGGCTCCTGCATAGGGCTTTTTTTTTTTGGGGGGGGGGGGGGGGGGGGTTT